CTGAACCTATTCTCCTTCTAGCCCCTTGGGTTCTGGAGAAATTTCTATGACATTGATGCCGCCTTCATCATTAGAAGGCTGTCACCAGTGTGTCGGGGAACAGTAGATATGGAACTGTCACAATGGGAAAAATGAGGCGATGAGGAAGGCCCTCCATCACCGCCTCTGGATTAGAGGTGCCAGGAATCTGCCTGGCACAAGGCTCTGTGTCATCATTGCACTTCTGCTGCATCCCCAAACTCACCGTCGTCCCCCTCCTCAAGCAGAGGGACCAAGACCTCAACATTCATCCCTAGGTTTCAAAACATGAAGTCATCTTTATGGAAAACGGCCAATCCATCATCCTGAGAACCAAGCAAGGACTAGAGCAGTGCTTAAATTTTGCGGGGGTCATAGACCCTCCTGAGAATCTGATAAATGCACCTATGCATACACACTCTCACACAAACGTGTTTGCACACCATTTCAGGTAATACCTGCATTCTCTGCAGTCCAACTGAGGACTCGAGAGATTAAGGCTTTCTCTTTGGAGATGCTGGGAGGATACATTTATAATAGACAGTTCCTGACAGTGTCTCCCCTTCTGATCCCATCCCTGTCCTGAAGCTCCTGGAGAAAGCAAAGGAAATGTAACCGGGATCCAGTAATTGTTGAAGGGGAGCTTGAAGCCACTGGCCACAGTGAGAGTTTTGGGTTCTATTTAAATTGCTCAGGGTCCTTTGTGTCCACCACAGTGTGGGTGGGCTGTCTGGACAATCAGCTGTTGGTTGCATGTCTGAAAATCTATCGGGCTCTTAGTTCCCTCTAGGAGCCCTTGGTTGTTCCACCTTACACCGGATTCTCTGGAAAATGCTTTGTAGGAGAAAAGCCGGTTGCTGCAAGGCCCTGAGGTCTTCCCTCTCCCCCTGGCTACCTCTGGAAGTTCCTGTCCCTCCCTGGTGGGAAGCACGTGTGCTCTTAATAGAGCTGCCTAATCACTTGTTTAAACTAGACATTTGGTGGGTAATGACTCCTGGCTGGGACCAGAGAAAGCCATCAGCTCTCCCCTGCAGGGACTAGCCCTGCAGGAGCAGAGCTGGCTGTGTGGGGGAGCATAGAGGGCGGATGAGGGTGCTGTTTGCAAGGTGGGCAAAGGGAGTAGACACCTCACTCCCTCTGTTTCCTACCGTGCTACTCGGGCACAGGTCGAAGCGAGAACATAAGGGGTGGTGGAGTGCAGAATGGGGAGGCAGGGCTCCTGGGGTTGTCTCCCAGCTCTGATTGTGGCACTCAAAGGGCAGCTCTAGGAACAGGTCAGTCCTGTGTGCACCTGCACCTGTCTTCCAGCTGGAGAAGACAGAAAATCTGTCAATCCCTGGGGTATAGCTATAAAGCCAGCAGATTTGCTATTTGCCCAGAGTTTTGAGGTCTGGGAGAGATGCACTGGAGAAATATAACCTACAGTGTTGTTAATTATTATATTTTTATCATTATTACAGGGGAGAATGTTCCCCCTGTTGATTCCCTGGGAAAATCATTGTGAAAACGAGCTGGCACCACCCAGGCCTTGTGCCCAGCAGAGCAAGCACTGGCAGATACAGCCTCCAAATCCACTCCCCTTCCAGCCGGTTCACCTGATCAGGCACTGTGCCCCTCTGCCTGCGGCCTCCCCCAGCACACACGTGCACATGTGTGTGCAGGTACACACAGGCACACTCACACCTAGCTCTCATGCCCTAGCTCCTCCGGCAGAGAGCTGTGCCCCTCTGCCTGCGGCCTCCCCCAGCACACACGTGCACATGTGTGTGCAGGTACACAGAGGCACGCTCACACCTAGCTCTCATGCCCTAGCTCCTCCGGCAGAGAAGAGGGTGCCTGGCACCTGCAGCATTAGAGGGTAGGTTT